CACACATTTGAGAAGCTAAATGCACCTCAAGCACAAAGCCATGGAGAATGACTTCACTGCACATCATGATCCAGTCACTCAGTGCTGGTGACAAGTGGAATTGTTGACGCAGCCAGGGAGACAGGCAGAGGATGGACGGGAAAGGGACAAAGACCGGCTGATGGAGCCACCCAGAGGCAGTGACCCGAGGCCTTGGGAGACCCTAAGTGCTGTTATTTTCTGATAAGTGAGTTCAGCGTTCTGCAGAGGTCCCATAAGGTAAGTTTGTCATTGTGCTGTTGAGATCTATCTTTGTGTCTTCGTTAGAGTACACCTGACCCAGTGAGAGCGTGTGAAGAATCCCCACCGGGAAGGTGGGTTTCGTTCCCTCAGGCTCACACCACACAGCTCCCTTCAGCAGGCGGGTCTGTGTGGACTCCACTGCTGTGAGGAGATGGCTGGGGACTCAGATGTTACTTATCTAGGGTTGTGATCATCATGGTGTCCCTTAAGATGATGTTGCTGGCCCAAGACTCTGGGAGAAGGCGCGACAGCTTCCATCCCTGTATAACCAAGACGTCTGTGCCGTCCACAACTCCTCTGTGGATGCCTTGTTTCTTCTGTTGTGTTAAGGTCTGGTCATCTTTGGTTCTGCTGTTCTTTTCTTTTACTTACACAGCTTTTTGTAAATTGTGCATCCTATTGTGTCTTTGGGTCTTTCGTTATTTCTGGGGTACCTCAGTACAGGTGCCTCCAATTAGACAGGTCTTAGACTTCAGTCTGTCCTCACCTGTGACTTTTTCCCCATCCATTCCATCCCTCAGCCCCTCTGCTGCCTTCTGATGTCCTCAGATTACTTTCCAGTCTGATAATTCTCTCTTCAGCTCAATCTAACCTAATGCTTAATCTGTTAAGCTTAGTTTAAAAAGTATTTTATTTACTTCTAAAAAATCTATTTGGATCTTTTACTTATCCTCCTGATTATTGAAAACATTCTCCAGTTGCTTATTTTTTTTTTTTTTTTTTGGAATTTTACTACTGAATATTCTTGTGTTTATAATTCCAAATCTGAAATTTCTGGGGATCTAAATCCATGTTTTGTTCTTTCTGATTTTCATTCGTGACAGATATTTTCTTGAGGATCTATGAGAGCAAATTTAGCTGATCTTAAACTCTTAAAAATCTAGGTTCTTGATTTGGGTCACTTAATTTCACCTTATTTATGTGGGGGCCCCGAGTTCCACTGTTCTGAGACCACTAGACTCTCTAGGATATAGGGGCCAGTCTGAGTCTTTGTTGCAGCTCTACCCCTGGCTTGTAGCTCTTGGCCCAGAAATTCCCCCATCGTACTGAACATACATCCCTAAGCTCTTTTCTTTCTCCAAACTCTCAAGAGTCTCCTCACTTTCTAGGAACCCAAGGTACAATAAAAATACATCAGCAAGAGCTGATGATTTTGTAGTCAGAGGGTCACCATATAGCTGTGTCCCTCAGCTCTTCATCTCAGTAAATAAATACTGACAAGAACAACTAACAGGAGGAAAAGTTTGTTTTAGGCTCATGGTTCCAGACATCCAGTCTGTGGTCAGCCAACTCCACTGCTCTGGGCCCAAGGTGAGGTGGACGTGGCAGCAGAAGGGCATGGTGGCGGAAAGGTCTTGAGTTTGTGACAGCTACGGAGAAAGAGAGAGAGAAGGAGAGATCAGGAACAAGAGAGAATCCTGAAGGTCGCATCCCAGTGACCTTCCAACCATACCCCACCTGCCGATGGTTGCCATGCAGTGATTCATCAAAATCATTACCCGTCAAATGAATCAGCCCATTGATTAGGTTACAGTTCTCTTAATCTCATCATTCGCCTCTGATCACTCCTATATTGACTAGCACATGAGCTTTTGGGGGGACATTTCATATCCAAACCAAAACACCCCTTCTTTTGAGTTTCAAATATATTGTTCCATGTTTCAGACTCAGATGCCCCAGTGGGTCCCGGGTCCTCAGCTGGGTGCTGTGCATGGTACCTGCCATTATCTCTGACATCAGGTGGGGCCCCGAGTTCCACTGTTTTCGTTTTCAGCCACCCAACTCTACATCTTCTCGATGTGGGAAAACATCCTCATGAGCTTGGGGTGCTGTAGAGACCATCCCTTTTGGAAGCCAGAGGCTGGCCTTCTCCTGAGGGCTGCCTCAGAGGGTGGGTGGTCCCAGTCAGTGCCGTTGTGTGGGTTCTCATGGTCTCCTGCCATGAGGCTGGGCAGCAGCTGGCACCAAAGGCCAGAGGCACAGAGCTTGGGACCGGGAGGGAGCCGGTGGCCAAGGGGGTCCTCCCAAGGAGGACGGCAAGGACGAGTGGGAGGGTGACGGGGAGCAGCAGCAGCTGCGGAGGCCAGGCTCCAACCTGTGCTGGCCCTTTTGGCCTCCAGAGGGTGAACAGGACCCTGGATGCCCAATGAACTGGCTGCTTGGGCGCAGGCCTCTAGGTGGCTGCCCGAGAGGACGCTTTCCTAGAAGCCAGTGAATTGAAAACTGGCTGCGAGGACTGAGTAAGAGAAGAGGAGGTGGGTGGGAGGGCCCACCGTGCAGACTGGGGGCGCCCACCGGGTGGTGATGCCGGCCGCCTGCAGACACAGTGGCGGGCACAGAGAGGCTCCCGGGAAGCAGGGGCTGTCTGCAAGGGGCCGAGGTGCAGGGCAGCAGGCAGCAGGCAGCTCAGCTGTGTGCAGAGCTGGCGCCTCCTGGGTGGTGGGCCTTCTGGGGGGGAAACTGGGCACTGAGCAGTGAACACCCAGTGCAGGCTTCGGGCCCACCCTCTGCACGGCTGTGTGCCCAGGTGCCTGTGAGCCAAGCCAGGCTGGAAGGGGTTGGACCGGGTGGGCAAGGGGGCGCTGTGCTCCTAGCCTTGGGGTTTGGATATCCCCGGCCACAGCAGCCAGCCTTCCACCTCCCGGCCTCTCCACCCAGGGGATGAGAACCTTCCAAGACTGACTTCAGGTGTATTGCCGTTGAAACTGTAATGATGTCTATAAAAACATTAGGAAGCACTTCCTAAGAGATGGAAGTTCTGGTCAGCATCACTGATGAAAGGTGTCAGTGTCCAGTGCCTCCAGCCAGAGAGAGCAGCGGGCCAGTGGCCCAGAACTCTGCACCGACCAGGCCCCAGGGTCCAGGGTCCCGTGGAGGAGGGAGCAGTGCACAGGGGCCAGCCACCACCTGCTCCTCAGCCCCTCTGTGCTGTGGGGGAGAAGCCCGCATTCCAGGCGCTGGCTGAGCCGGGAGAAGAGAGGGATCCTGTTATGCAGAAACCTGGGCTGTGTCCTCGGATGTCTGTGGTGCCTGAGGGAGCAGGGCAGACACCTGCCCGGCAGCCACGGCTCCCCCAGAGCAGCCACTGGAGGATTTAAAGCGAAGACCTTCCTCCTCTCTCGGTAGCTAGACTTTTGAAAAGTCTTGTCAGGTCGTTGACTGAACTTGACAGCAGAAGGGAAGCTTCAGTTGTAAATAATACACATTTCACAAAAATAGTTTGGAAAAGTCACAAACGGATGACTTTACCCTCAACGAGGAAGAATCCATAACCCCCGTGGGGTAGGAAAGTCTGATTTCAGGGGATGAATACTTGGAGCATCTAGTTATTGATTCAGTCACCTTCTGCTGCTGTGACTAGAAGACCTGACAAGAACAACGTCAGAAGAGGAAAAATGTATCTGGCTCACAGTTTCAGAGGTCTCGGTCCACAGAGAGCCAGCTCCATTCCTCAGGGCTCACGGTGCTGCCCAAGAGTGTGGTGGAGGGAGGGAGCTCACAGGAGGATCCGGAAGCGGAGAGAGCCTCAGCTCAGCTCCCCAAACACATACCCCAGAGCCACACCCCCAGTGGCCCACCTGCTCCAGCCACCCACCCGCCTTCAGCTCCCCCCAGTGAATCCCCATCAGGGAGGCGCTCACCACCGCCCAGTCCTTTCACCTCTGAAGGGTCTTGTATTGTCTCTCACATGAGCCCTGGGGTCACCTCACCTCCAAACCATAACGGTCATCAACAAAAACCTACAAAGAAACGAGAAAATATGGCCCATTCACAGAAGAAACAGTCTTTGGCAAAAAACATCCGAGGGAGCTTGGACACTTTACCTATCAGGCAGAGACATTGAATCATCTGTCTTCAGTGGACTGGACAAACTAGAGGGGACCCCAGCAAAGGAAATGAGGACAGTGGCCTCAACGAGGGAGTCACCAACACAGGGAGGAACCGCAGGGTGCACCAAGACGGGTTCCAGAACCAGGCCGGGAGGGTGACATGGCACTCCCACCACAGGAGCCCCGAGCAGGAGGCCAGCTGCCACCATCCTGTCTGCAGGGCGAGGGGGAAAGAATGAAGAAGACAGATCCTGAGGCACAGGGGACAGGGCGAGCACCAACCCACGCATCCCAGGGGTCACAGGCAGAAAAGAGGGAGAGAGGCAGAAAGCAAACTCAAAGAAATTCCCAGACCTGACCCAAGGTGGGAGTGCACATCGCTGAGTGGCCCACAGATTGGAGGGGGACACACTGCGAGGTCCAGACCCAGGCCCCGCGGAGCTGTCCCAACCTCGGCAACGAGAGGATCTCTTTTTCTTTTTTCTTTTGTTCAAAGACTCCGATTTTATTTTGTGATCTGTGTCAAACAGCCTCATTCTCAGTGCAGGTGGCCCCTCCTCCCCAGGGGACAACTTGGGGTGGGGTCCCCTATGAAGTCATGGCCTCCACAGGCCCCAGGGAGACCCATGCAGTTCCGAGAGTGGATGGGAATCCTGGCCAAGACCCGGTGGGTGGGAGGCCGTGACTAGATGGGGTGGTGGTCATGTCAGGTAGCTGAGAGCTGGAAAACCCGTCCTCGGCCCTGCTCGGTTTGGGGACTGCTGTGCCTGTGACGGAGAGGGGTGTGAGGTTTCCCCCCACCTCACAGGACGCCCTTGGCCAGGCATGGCTTCGATTCCACCAAGGGCTCAGCTGAGAGGGGAGCAGGAAACGCGTGGGCTGGCTGCTTCACAGGGTGTTGGCGCTGGTGCCCCGCAGTCCCACACCGCGGGCCAACTGTTCCAGCAGGCCCCCAATGGCCCCAATGGCCCCACTGGGCTGCTGTATGCGACCAAGAAGGCTGAACGCACCTCTGGCAGCCGCGTCTCCCGGGCACTCAGAGCTGCAAACCTGGGTTTGGGACTTCCAGTGGACTGCTACCCATCCTGAAGACGTTGTCAGAATGGTTTGGAGATGAGGAGCTGGAAGACTTGGCTTCAACCAGCCCCGGGTGGGAAGGCAGGCGGTCCTCAGAGGGCTGTGGCCGGTTCCAGAGCACACTCTGTGGAGAGGACGAGTGATTCTTCCTCCAAGCTGCCCGAGTCTGTGCTCCTGCCGGGATCAGCTCCAGGGCCTCGTAGGTGAGGCTCCCGGCGGCTCAGCATGCAGATGTCTTCCACAGTGAAGCCTGCGTCCCGGGCTGGCAAACTCTTCCCCCTCTGGGTCTTCGGAGCACAGAACTCCTCGGAGGTGATCTGCTTCAAAAAATTGAAGCAGCAGAAGAAAACCTCCTCTCCTTTGCTGAGCCGATCTACCAACATGTGCCCAAAGAGGAACCAGTCACAGGCCACAGTTAGGTAGAGGATCTCAGCTAGAGACGTGTGGATGAGTCCAGCAGCCACAAGGAAAGGCGCAGGAGAGAGATGAAGAGGGGGGTCCGATCCCAGCCTGAGATACAGTGCCCCAGCAGCCCGCGGTCATCAGCGCTGCTGACTACGGAGAGCAGCAATTTCAGGTAGTTTTGTGTCTGTTGCACCAGGTCCCAACTCTGATACAGGCTCCAGTCAATATTCAGAGGGTGAGTCAGGAAATCGGGGATGCTCAAGGGGGCATCGACGTAGTCCTGCTTCCAGTTAAATATGAGCCCTTCGGCCAGGTAATCCCGATCCTTATATTCCTTGAAAAATTCACAGCCTGGATACGGGATGGAGAGGAGAGTGAAGTCGGCATAGCCCTGGGCTTTGTCCACCTTCTCGGAGGAGGCTACGTTCATGCCAGATTTCACCTTCTTGTTCTCCACCATTAGATCACAGATGTACTTGACTGACAAGTACCAAAGTAACCTGATGTCATAGCCTCTGACCTTATCAAAAAAAGATGCATGTCCCCACTTAAAAGAGCACAATCCTCTGTCTGTGACGTCCTCCACACCTGCCCAGGAATCATCTGCACCCCCTGAGAAAGAATAGTTGTAGCCAGAGTGTCCATAGAGCTCCCCGCATCCAGCCAGCGTGGCTGACCTGCAAATGTGCTTGCCTTTGAACAAGATTACTGGGCAGACGCACCGTCCTCTGCACCTGGCCATCTTGCTGCGGTGGATGAGGTCTTGCAGCTTGCTCATTGCACGGTGCTCTGAAACGTGTCTTTCTCCTTCTCAGAACTCTCATACTCCAGGAACACGATGTGCCGGGGATAGTGACCGCAGATATCCCCATTCACATTTGGAATCACGCTGAAACAGAAGTCTCGGCCAAACAGCTCCAGACATCTCTTCTCAATGCGCTCAACCTTAGAGCCGCTCATCCCGCTGCTGTCCTTGGCCCGGTACTGAGTCCGGGAGAACTCTTCTAGCAGCTCCCCGAGCCCCGGCTCCTGAGGCGGTGGGTTGCCTGAAGAGGCTGAGGACCCTGCCGAGGCGGCGGCGGCGGTGGCCCGAGCGCCAGCCATGGTCCAGCCCCATGTCCCCTCAATGTGCCTCAGCCCGGCCCATGGCACCTGGCGGCACCGACTGCTACTCTGGAACCTCGCGAACCTCCTCAGCCGCCGCCTTCTTCTTCCTCCGCTTGCAAGGAGAGGATTTCTACAGCAGCAGGAGAGAAACGACTGATCACAACCAAGAAACTCGAGAGAGCTAAGCTGACTTCTCACAAAACCCAGCGCCTCAGCACAAGGGGGATCGTGAAGCCCGAAGGACGGCAGAACGGGGAACAGCTGTACCAAAGCTCTGTCTGACAAGTGGATCCTCAGAATGGAGGGGAATTGAGACACTTTCCGATTCACAGAAGCTGAGGAAGTTCCAACCCAGGGGAACTGCCCTAAAAGAAGTCCAAGGAAGCCCTTCAGGCTCAAGGGGAGCTGGATGTGACTTGAATCAGAGAGGCAAAGACGGGGCAAGGGCCCAAGCCCAGGGCGCCCTGAGTGTCCTTCTGCGGGTATGTGACTCTCCTACCTACGCGACTCAAAAGGGGACCGTGGGAAGCCCTGATCTCAGTGTTGGCCACAGGGCAGGGTGAGAAGCGTGATCGTGACAACCAGAGGAAGAAGGAAGATGAGAAGGTCCAGGGGCACCCTCAGCTGGAGTTCCTGGGACTGGCTGTGACAGACGGAAGGTGCCAACCGTGTTCCCAAGGTGACCACTAACAGAATGATGAGAAGATATACAGAAAAGACAAGAGACATCAAAATGGCATACTATAGATATTTAATATGAATAAAACAATTGAAAATATATTAGGTACAAAAAGGCAGTAGTGGAGGAATTGAGGGGTAAAATTACATAAAATAATCAGAAAAATGCTAAAATGCAGAATTAAGTCTTTTCTTGTTAGTAATTGCTTTAAATGTATATGGATTAATTAGTACTATTAAAATGAGATTGGTTTAAAAATATGGTCCATTTAAAAAAATATATTTATTGTTTTGGTGTAGATAGAAACAACACAATGCCTTTATTTTTATGTGGTGCTGAGGATCGAAACCGGGTCCCGCCCGTGCTAAGCGAGCGCTCTACCGCTGAGCCACAATCCCAGCCCAAAAAAATATGGTCCATTATATACTCTGTATAAGAAACTCTGTAGGGTTTGAAACTTGGAGTTTGAAAGAACAGAAAAAGATTGCATACCAATCATAATCAAAAGAGAGCCAAAGTAGCTGTATCACTGTCAAAAAATAGACTTTGTTGAAAAAAATTTTAAGACACAAAGAAGGATATTGGTATTAATAAGAGTTTCAATCCAGCAAGAAGATATAAATATTCTACACTTCTAAAGGCAGAGTCCCAAAGTAAATAGAGCAAATCCAGACAAAATTAAAGTGGGATATAGGCAGAGCTACAATAACTGTGGGAGACTTCAACATGCCCCTGTTAGGAAATGATGGGAAAATCAGACACGAATCAAAAAGAAAGAAAGGACGTGAACCCGGAAAACTAATCAGGACTCACAGACCCACACAGAACACCCACCCAACAATGAAGTACACCTTCTTCCTCTCCAGGACACACGGACCCTCTCCAGGACACACCACATGTGAGTCCACAGTACTACAAAAATATCTTCAGGAATTTCAAAAACTGACATGCAGAGTATTGTTTTCAATCACACTGGGATAAAACGAAATATCACTAATAAAAGAAAACCAGGCGCTGGGCTGGGGCTCAGCAGCAGAGCCCTGGCCTAGCACAGTGAGGCACTGGGTTTGATCCTCAGCACCACATAAAAATAAATAAATAAAAATAAAGGGACTGAGTCCATCTACAACCAAAAATATCCAAAAAGAAAAAAACATATGATTCACATATATGAAATTAGGCAACCAGTGAGTCAAACAGAAGTCACAAGAACAGTAACGAGATCACACACCAGAATTTCTGGGAATCGGTGACAGTCGTGCGGAGAGGGAACTGGTGGCTGGCAGCACCTGAGCTGAGGAAGACCTGAAGTCAGTGCCCAACCGCACACTTTAAAAGGTAGAAAAGGAGAGCAAACCAAACCCAAGCCTAAAGGGACAGAACAACAAAGAGTACAGCAAGAAACGGAAAATGATACGTGAGTCCAGCAAAGTCCAGCAAAGCCAAGAGCTGGGTGTCTGCAGATCCCACAGACCACAACAGGTTGCCGGCTCGGAGCCGAGAGGAGACTCAACTCACCAGAGCCACAAGAAACCGATGGGACTTCAGTCCCGATTCTGCAGGGAAAAGGACCACAAGAGGGTAACCCGGCACAGCCACAAACTGTACTGTGTAGATTTTTAGGGTTTAGGGTTGAGATGACAGGTGGCCCCAGAGAATGCACGAATGTTCAAGGGGAAATGATCAGATTACGAGACCCCTAACCTGAGGAGCAGACCTCGAACCTGGAACCGATACCCTGAAAGGCTTAGATGACGAGAGCCGTGGCCTGAGTGGTGCATGGAGCCTTTAGGATGCACTAACTGGGTGTCACTGTAGGCAGGTAACCAGTGGCTGGGAAGGTGGGTCAC